ACCAGCGGAACTGCAAAAAACTGTGCTACTCGGAACATCCTATATTTTAAGAAGGTTCTTGGTTGATCCCTAGGACGCTGACAGCAACCTGTATCAACCATTAGCACCAATCAATGACATTTGTGATGCATATTTGAATGTTCAGTTGGCTGAGTTTCATGTTTAATGAGTAAAGTATATAATATAATAATACTTTGTCAGTGCACAACATATGTACCCGCGTGGTGTTCACAAGTTACGATCTGCGCACGTGAGGGCGGTCGCTCACCCGCTCCCGGGTCTGGACATATATGTGCACATGTGTTTTGAGGGGGAATTCCTGATGAAAGCCATGCTTTGTCACATCAGGTAGGTTAGCTTTGTTGCAACGGAGGCCGGCCTAAATTCAGGAAACTATGCCGGAAAAGGGACCGGGATCCACAAAGTTCCCATTGCAAAGGGAAGCCTGTGAAGAGGCGTGTTGGGCTCCCCGAGACATAAAAGCACTTCCCCGCCTCTCGCCGCTGCCCTTCAGCCACGGGCAACCCCGCCACCCGCCGCCGCTCCTTCAGAAGCCGCATTGCGCCTGCGCTGCCGGAGCGCCCTGATTGGCCAAGGGGGTCCCTATATAAACGCAGCGCAGGCTCTGCCCGGATCTCTTGTTACGGCCGCCATTTTAATACTCGGGTCGGACCGCGTAGTCAGTCAATCTCTTTCCTTTGCGTCGGTGTCCGCGCGCTTTTTTTTTTCCCCCGCTCCCCCCTTTTTCGGCCCGTTCCCACTATGGAGGAGAACACCGACTACGGCAGTAGCAACAACAACAACAACACAAGCTCCGGCGGTGGCGGCGGCGGCCAGGAAGAGTTCGCCGAAGGCTCGAAGATCAACGCCAGCAAGAACCAGCAGGATGACGGGTACGAAGGGGAATCGATCCCGCCAGAAGCAGGGAGAAAGGGGAAGCTTGGCCGAACGAGGGAGGGTGAGCAGAAGGGGAGGAGATCGAGTCGATGAGTCGGGCGCCATTTTGGCCTGTTTTAAAAAAAAAGGGACGGCGGGGGGGAGCCCTCAGCAATGCCTTTCGCCCGGCAGTTGCCACGTGATCGCGCTCTTCCTTGCTGAGCGTCGCGCCTCCCGCCTCTGCAATTCCCTTTGTGTCTTTTCACACACACACATCGCTTCTCGCGAGAGGGCGAGGGGGGGCGGATCTCCACGTCCGAATGGGTGGAGCGGCGGGAGGTTGATCGTTACCTCGTGATGCAACCGCCAGCCTATAGGAAGAGAGTGGGCGGGCCTGGATGTTGAAGGCGGGTGCTAAGCGGCCGCGGATGCGCGTTGCTCGCCCCGTCGGGTGGGCGGGGCGAGCTCAAACCTTGGCAACTTTGGAAGGGGGGCGGAGTTGGCCAAGAAGGTGCATTGTGGGGCGGGGCGAGGTCGCCGCCGCCAGATCCTTGCCGGCCTTCGCTTGGTGCCTTCCCTTTTGCGCCTTACAAACGTGGCTGGCCGAAAAGCTCCCGATTTATAAATTTATTTTTAAATACGTTTTATTTTTAAGAGGGATCTTGGGTCTGATTCTCCCCAGGGCGATCTTTTTTCAGGGTTCCAACCTTTCAGATCAAGATTCATGTTATTTGCTACTCTCCTTGTAGGGGAGCTGTGTGTTCTCTTAGATATATTAAATTATGGATTTTATTCTCGGCTGAGATCCAGCCCAACGCACCTGGATTACATCGGGAGCTGAAGGATTGTCTTAAGGCAGGGGTCTCCAACTTTGGCAACTTTAAAGCTTGTGGACTTCAACTCCCAGCATTCCTCAGCCAGCTTGATCGTTGCCTCGTGATGCAACCGGCAGCCTATAGGACGATGGTGGGCTGGGAATTGAAGTTCACAAGTCTTAAAGTTGCCACGGTTGGAGACCTCTGATGTAGAATAGACTGGTCCAGGCCTTAATGGCCCATTGATAAAGGTGGGGGGGGGGGGGCTGTGCTGGCTGAGGAATGCTGGGAGTTGAAGTCCCTAAGTTAAAGTCCTTAAAGTTGCCAAGGTTGGAGACCTCTGATGTAGAATAGACTGGTCCAGGTCTTAATGGCCCATTGACAAAGGTAGGGGGGTGAGTTTCTGCCTCCCTTTTAGGGAAAATATTCTGCCCTTTTAATATTTGGTCTAAAGCATGGCCAAAACTTTTAAAATCTCTCTACTTCAACTCATAGCATTGTTGGCTAAGGAATAGAGGGAGTTGGAAGGCTGCATGTCTTTAAAGTTGCCAAGTTTGAGATTGGTCTAAAAGATGATTGGAAGCAAGAGAACGCCTTGGGATTACAAGTAGTTCTTGACTTACCACCACAATTGAACCCAAAACATCTGTGGCTAAGCAAGTTTTATATGGGTTTTGCCCCATTTTACAACCTTTCTTGCTACAGTTAGGTAAATCAAGGCGGTTAAGTTAATAACTTGCAGTTAAGTGAATCTGGATTCGCTATTGATTTTGCTTGTCAAAAAGTCACAAAAGTTGATCATGTATCTGGGGCACTGAAACAATCAAATACACACCAGTTGCCAACTGTCCAACATTTGACCTTGGGGATGCTTTTTTTTTTAGGGGGGGGGGGGAAACAGTCTTGAAGTCACTTGTTCAGTGCTGTTGCAACTTTGAATGATCACTAAATGAATCGTTAGAAGTTGAGGACTGCAAATAGCAGAAGGTGAGCCATGTGCAGGGCAAAGGTCTCCAACCTTGGCAACTTTAAGTAAGACATGTGGCTCCTCTGGCTGAGGAACTCAAGAGAGTTAAAGTCCACAAGTCTTAAAAGTTGCCAAGGTTGGAGAACCCTGGCCTAGGGAGAGGGAGAGACACTTGGAAGCCAAAATGGATCCAGAAAAGTTGCAAAGGACTTGTATGATTAAACCTATGCAACAAGTTGCTTGGATTGTTATTTTGGGTGCAGATGAAGGATCCTTGACTCTTTGGAGAATATATTACAAATTTTGAGTGCTTCAAGTTTCAAATGTCACAAAATGGCATTCTTCACAACTACGAAGGAGATATCTTTCCATCTTTCATATAAGTTTATGGAAGATATGTTTATATTTGAGGATTGTTGGTTTTCAGGAACCCCACCTTAGCTTTAGTGTGGTTCTGATGCTTGAGAATAAGATGATAAGTCTTAACTGATTTTTCGTTTGTTATGTGCCCCCTTAGCCAATTTATGGTTGATTGCTGTGAAGATAAAATGAGGCAATAGTGTGTGTGTGTGTGTGTGTGTGTGTGTGTGTTACTTTGACACTGAGAAGATAATGAAGTAAAATACAATCAAGGTAGTGTACGCTGAAATTCTATATAGGAAAGTTTGAAGATGGTGAGCTCTGAACTCTGAATCTACTGTTCCCTTTTTCTATGGCAAACCTGAGGCCCCTATTGTGGCCTATTAGCAAAATCAACATCATACTAGTTATGTCTTAGCATTTATCTCCCACTGCTAAATTTGTGGTTCCTTTGGCTTTTGACAGATATGTGATTTCGGTTTTCCTGTTGTAGTTATTTGTTTTAAGTACATTTAAAAGAACTATTGCTTCATGAAGAAATGTCACTTTTGTAGAAGAGCTGCAGTAATTGGACCTTCACTTCAAATGCATAAACCTCTTACATGCACTTATGGTTAAGGAGAATTTACACAGTTGCAATGTAATGATTAAGAAATTGAACTGGCATCAGGAAGATTTGGATTTGCTTATCCAGTGTCACAATTGCTGTGATAATTTGCAAAATACCTTTGTAACAAGTTCATAGGTACAATGCTATATTCTGGTTTTATAGGAAGGTGTGATTGCCCACCTAACTTGGAATAAAATGTGCAAGTTTTTGCTGTTTTTTAAAAGTTACTTCCTTGGAATCTGTTGTTATTTTTTACCTTTTTTTCAACAACATTGAAGTAATCCAGTTACTTTCCTTGATCTCTAATTACATCTAACTCTAAGTACTGTAGTTTTGTTATTTTATCACACTGTTTTGATTCAGGGGAAAAAATTATTTAGGGAAAAAATCCCACTATAATCCATTAACCTTTTAAATAAACATACTCCAAATTTTGTCTATGGAGCTGAGATAGCTGGCCATAATTTCAGAATCTCTATAGACAAGCTCTTAATTTTTTTAAATAAAAACATTGCTTTTTAAAGACTTTCAAATGTTAATTATCAGAAGGATTTTTGAGATTGTTTATGTTCCTTACAGTCATATTTAGTAGAGACATGCAGAAATTTCAAACACCCAATTTCAGTACTTTATTCAAATAAGGTTTTTAGAGTTCAAAAAGTAATATTTTGACATGTATCATAAGTATGCCTGTACTATTCTACTGCATCATAAGTTTTACCACCCTATTTTGAAAATGGTGTTTCATGGTTGAATTGTGGGACTGTTTTGAATTTGGAATGTTTCCAGAATGGCTGAAGTTACTTTCTGTTTTGTTTTGCTTTTTTGCTTAAGATAGGCTGTTTATATTCAAAATGTATCGCATACCTAGCATATGTGAAAAACTATTTTGGATTGTTTGACAGTTGACTCTTCCCTTCACCTGATTTTAGGTGATATTCTGAATCACTTACATGTTTTATAAATGTTGGAGAAGATTAATAATTTGTGTATGACAATGACATGTCTTAAGATGGAAAGTAGATGAAGGAGGACATTCTTGAGGATTTTCTTTTCTCCCCCTCCTGTTTCAGTTTAAAAAAATGTGTTTCTTTATTTTTTCCCCCCCAAGTACAATTTGTATCTGAAAACCTGAATTGGGGCAAATTAGCTAATACATTTTTTTAGATCAATGTATAACTGTTTGTATGAATGTCATTTTTTGAAACTTTTTTTTTCCCATTCCAGTAAAATGTTCATTGGTGGACTAAGCTGGGATACGAGCAAAAAAGACTTGACCGAGTATTTGTCTCGCTTTGGCGAAGTGGTGGATTGCACAATAAAAACAGATCCTGTCACAGGGAGGTCAAGAGGGTTTGGGTTTGTGCTTTTCAAAGATGCTGCCAGTGTGGAGAAGGTAGGTAGTCACCTCTGTGGGACCATGGAATCTTCTCTAAACAATTCCAAACGCCTGGGTCGATTTTTCCTCCTGGAACTAAATTATCAATAAATCTCTATTTTTAGGTCTTGGAATTGAAAGAACACAAATTGGATGGCAAGTTAATAGATCCCAAAAGGGCAAAAGCTCTGAAAGGGAAAGAGCCACCAAAAAAAGTGTTTGTTGGTGGACTGAGTCCGGATACATCTGAAGAACAAATCAAGGAGTATTTTGGCGGTTTTGGAGAGGTATAATCCATTTAAACCTTCATTTAAATGGGGTGTGTATGTATGTTATCCAGTATAATGTCTAGTTAAAAACATAGTTTATTGCAATAAGCTTGAGTAGTTTTTGGGATTTTCTTTTGACTAACTTGACCTGGGTAACTTCTAAATCAAGAAACAGCAGCCCAAATAGCCTGCAAATATTGGGAATGAATGGAATTTGCTTTGGGTTTTTTGGGGGGGGGATACATTAGTATTTGTAGCAAAACAGTGATTATATTGTCAGGGTAGAGATGACACAAACATGGTAAAGTGTTAGTGATTATTTTCTAAAATGTTTCGTTGTATGGCAAAAGTGAAGGGGCTAAACTTTATAGAGTTAATTTAAAAGATGTGAATGCAATTCCATAAAGTTTATGATACCTTCCAGGCAGTTTAAAGAAAGGAAGAGAAGTGCTAAGTAAAAGAAATTGTTTTAAAAATTGGAGCTCCTATATAAGGAGCTTGGGTCAGGTGTGAATACCCTTTGATTGTTGATAATGTGGCTTTGCAGATTGAGAATATAGAGCTTCCCATGGACACAAAAACAAACGAAAGGAGAGGTTTCTGCTTCATCACATACTCGGATGAAGAACCAGTAAAGAAATTGCTGGAAAGCAGATACCATCAGATTGGTTCTGGCAAGGTATTTGTAATTTGTTACTTGCGGAAGCTGCAATACTTAACTTCATATATTTTTCATATATCTTGTAATGAAATTACACACTCCTTTTTTTGTCCTAGTGTGAGATCAAAGTAGCACAGCCCAAAGACGTATATAGGCAGCAACAGCAGCAACAAAAGGGAGGCAGAGGTGCTTCATCTGGTGGGCGTGGGGGATCCAGAGGACGTGGCAGGGGTAAGTATGGCAAATTGTAACTGGTGTATATAACTCATGAAATAAAATTGTGAAAAAATCCCTCAGTTTTAGTGTGAAGGAAAAGTGCACCCTAGCTTTTCTCATAAGCTTTGGGATATCAGACAGGAAACTACGTTAAAAAGGAACAAAGCAAATACCGTATTTTTCGGACTATAAGACACCCCCCCCCACACACACAAAGTGGGTGGAAATGTCTGTTGTGCATCTTATAGAGCGAATATTGCAGCAGGAGGAGGGGGGTTGGTGCGGTGCCAATTAACTGTTCTAGGCGGCAGGGGTCGCCACTGCCTATTGCTGCCGCTGCTGAAAGTTTGCGGGGAATGGGCTGTGGCGGCAAATAGGTGTGGCAAACGGGCGATGGAGGCAGAAGCAGATTCCCTCCCCCCTTGTTCTCTAAAGCTAATTGTGTCTTATAGTACGGAGCATCTTATAGTCCAAAAATACAGTTCTTTGCAATCCTTATAGCGACTTCTTGTTTATTAATTTAAAAACATGGTGGGCTTTTAACGCTGCAATCACTTCATTTTTAGGTCAAGGCCAAAATTGGAATCAAGGGTATAACAATTACTATGATCAAGGATATGGAAGCTACAACAGTCCTTACAGTGATCAAAGCTACAGCAGCTATGGGGGATATGATTATTCTGGGTACAATTACCCAAGTTACGGCTATGGCCAGGGATATGCTGACTACAGTGGTAAGATTTTCATTTGACTTTCCATTTAATTATCCATTTAGTTATATTAACTTTTCTTATTTTTTTTATTTTTTTTTATTTTTTATTTTTTTTATTTTTTATTTTTTATTTTTTTTATTTTTTTATTTATTATTTTTTTTAATATATATATATATTATTATGTTTTCATTCTATACAATCACATATTTACTGTGCTTAATCAGGGCATGTAACATTGAGTAATAAACACGTCCCTCACTTATATAGAAAATGCCCTCTACAATACAAACCCAATATACCACCTTGGCCCACCATACACCCTCTTTCAACCCCCTCCAACTTTCATTCTTCCTTCTCACACACCCCTCTACGCCTACTTCCCCTCCCCTTCTTTCTAACCCTAACCCTATCACTCCCTCTAATCCATTCCCTCCCTCCCTTCTCCTCCTCCTCTCTCCACCCTCCTTCTTCTTTCACTCGACTCTATCCTTCGGTATATTTCTATTACCTTCCAGTATATTCGGTTTGTACTATTTTCGCACTAACATTGAAAAGCCACAGTATACAAATGCATACTGTATATTAACTGTATATTATATTAACTTTTCTAGTCAGTCTCTCTTTCCAATCTGGAGATTCTTAGTCATCCAGGTCATGGTTGCTCCAAAGGTGCTTTTTTTCTCAATAAGCAACTGGACTTCCTTGTTTTTTTCTTTGAAGACGTTTCCCTTCTCATCAGCAAGAAGCTGAAGAAGCTTCTTGGATGAGAAGCGAAACGTTTTCTCATCCAACCTTTGGAACAACTCTTTCCGGGAAGACCTGGTACCGTTGCACATATTCAGAAGTGTAGGTGCATGTTTTTTGAAAACATTCCCTGTAGAGAGTTGGGGAAATCTTAACAGTTGTATTAGTTATTAAAAGATGCATTGAAAAGTTCAGTTTTTTTGAAAACCCTTTGAACTTGGGGCCCTGATAGCTGAATGGTTGAAGACGCCGAGCTTGTCAGCTGGAGAGCTGACAACCTGGGTTTGAGACCCGAGCTCCATGCAAGGGGATGAGATTCTTACTCCAGCTCCTGTCTGTCTAGCAGTTTGAAAGCATGCAAATGCGAGTAGTGAAATAGGTATCACTTTGATGGGATGGTAACAGCGTTCTGTGCTCCTGTGGCGTTTAGCCATGCTGGCCAGTTGACCTTGGAAATTGTCTTCAGACAATGCTGTTGTTCCCTCAGCCAAGAGTTGGAGATGAGGACTATGCTTTAGAGTTGGACATGACTGGACATGGAAACCTTTACCTTCTTTAACTTTTAACTATGTTATTTGGACTGTCTAATGTCTTGATCTTGAGTTTATTGTAAATCACGGAGACCAAATCATTTTAAAAACTATCTTAAGTCAATATTCTGAAATGCTTTTTATAATAGTAGTTAAGGTAGAACATTTGTTAACATTGTTAATGTCAGTGTTAGGAGTATTACAGATTTTTGTGTGTGTGTTTAAATAGTAAGGTCTAGCTTGACAAGAGTGCCTTTTTGTCAAACCAACCTGCAGTTTCTTACAGTTCCCAAAACTCCAATATTCTCTCTTGGAATAGGACAGCAAAGCACATATGGAAAGGCATCCCGAGGTGGCGGTAATCACCAAAACAACTACCAGCCATATTAAAGAAATACTTGGGAAGAAACAGGTGTGTATTGGGTGAATGCGTCACCTCTCCTATGTCTAATCTAATTTAAAGATCAATAGACAAATAATTTTTTTAAAAAAATCACTTCTCTTGGCTAGCTTGTTTTTTTTTTAAAAAGGAAAATTAAAAGTGTGAATGTCTGTTAAACTTTCTGTTTTAAGTGTCTATAGATCTTTAACTCTGTAAAAGGTGATTCGTCGTCCTTAAGCATGTCAGAGAAACATAAGAGTTTTTCTGTTTACATTTTTTGTGTGCCAGGTGGTGTAGACGAATAATTAAAACTTAATAGAAGTGTTAACCAACAGGTAAAGTACTGAAATGGGTACAACTTAAGCAAAACAAGATTGTTGTCTTCTAACTCTGACATTATACCTTGTTTGTACCCGCCAGCGGGAACTTCCTTGCAGGCCGTGTGTCACCCTGACCACGTCTATCTCTGGGGGTCGCACGTTGCAGGCAGAGCGCAAGGCATACACCAGAAAACGCTGTCCTGTGGTATGGTCTCTTCCAACTTCATGTACCAGCGTAAAGATTAAAGTGGAAAACTTCAGACTTTGGCTTCTTTTTAAAAATCTTTGACGATTTAAGTGTCTTAACTTAACTTAAAATGGTTTTTTACAGGAGTTAAAGTGCATAAATGCCTTTACAGCTTAATCATTTTTGGCCTTCTGTTTAGTGTTGTATATCAATTGTGGACCTCATTTTAAGTGTTCGTTCTTTAAGATTTAATGCTTGCTTTTTTTCTTTTATAGCTATTAGTGAAATCTACAAACCAAAACGAACTTTTAAATCTGGGAACATTAAAGATCATGTGCAAATAACAGCTTCTATTTTAACCACCTGACTAACAATAATTTTCCTTGGTGTATTGCCATTTTTCTATTTTCATTAGCGGTTGAAGCTATGAAAGATTTCTACTACAGCTTTTGGTTTCTAGTAAACCCAGAGCTACGTGGCTGAGCTTCTACAGTTCTTTGACATAGCTCCATCGTTTGAGCTGAACTGGTCAACCGGGATGTAAAATATAATTGGATTATCAAAAAGTATTTCATGTTGACAGATGCATATGATCTTTAACGGTGAAGCAAGGAATAAATAGAGGACTTAAAGCAGTTCATGAAAATGGACCTTTTAAAAATCCTTCTAAACGTTGCACAGGTCTCATAATGATTTTGTCTTGGTTTTATAGGTAGAGACTACAGCAAAGCCATCTTGCAGAAGTTTAAAGGACTTGACTGGAGGGTAGTCTTCGTGACATGAAATTGTTTTGTAAAAGACTTTTAGTGTATGACACAGCAGTGTCTAACTGTACATAGTGACCGGCTAGTTTTCTTTATGGTTTTTACTTTTTTGTCCTTTTGTCATCTGTGTTACGATGCCAATGTGGTTCTTGTGTTTATACAATTTTATTTGTATTTCCTGTTGAATGACTCAAATAAAAAAAACTTACCTTCTGTGACTGTTGCATTTCGAGGTTGTGCTCTTGGCACTGCTGTATAGGAGCAGAGGTGGACAGTTTTTGAGACTCTCGTCGCCATGCTTCCAACAGATGCTGGGACTTGCAGGGTCAGCAGCACTGGAGTGTGCCGTGATATGTACCTGGATTTAGAAAATTGCAGTGAGGAGGCTGCAAAGATAGAACGATATTTCAACAGTAGTGTCCTGTGTTGTAATGCCTTATGATTTGTTATAATTTTGTTAACTGCTGGGAATCTTCAGTATAGAAATGTTAATAAATAAATTTTCATGCATTGAAATGACCACTTTGTGATCACATAGAGGCGAACACAAACCTTATTTATGTAGCCATCAACTTTGGTAAAATGCTGACTGCTAAATAATTGAGCTTTTTTTTAAAAAATAACTTGTACTTTTGAGAATATATTCTGAATGTACTGCCACTTGAAACCTTTTGTTATTTCTAACCCTCTGCCAAGATAATGCTGATAAAATATGACTGCAAAACCAATTTCTGCAAGCAGGATAAGTGGGTGTTTCTGGATAAATGATACTTCATCACTATGAAAGCAGCACAATTAGGATTGTTTTTTACTATAAATTTGTTGGTTAAAATGTTTTTTTAAATAGATTATCTGAAAATAATTTGGCTGGGCAAATATTTCAGCGTAGTAAAAAAATGGAGCCTGAATTATGCAGAAATTATGTTACTTAAGGCATAAGTAACAAAAGGATTTTACACAAAAAAAACCTATATCAGATGAATTTGAACAGTTTCCTGAATAGAAAATTTAATATGATTTTTTTAATCTTGATAAAATGTTAATATTTAAGTCTGTTCTAAAGATACAAAAATGTAGCATACTTGGGAAAGTTTGCATGTCAACCCAGCATTAGGAATCAATATAAACAGCTTCAAAACTTAACTACCTCATTCAGGCTAATTTTGTCTGTAAACTTAAGATTTATTTTTATACTTTTTAAAAAAATGTTACACTATTTTGCCCAGAAAATGGCAACAACTGGCTGATGTCTAATCCCAGAAAGCTAACTCTGGTTGAACCTGATCAACCTGAAAAACCTCAGGAGTTTAAGGCTTTACTGGAAAGTAAAGAAAAAGTTAAAAGTTATATTTTCATGTTTCAAGGAAGTTCCATAGATGCATTCAAGAGAGAGGATTTGAGCTTGACATAAAGGGACTTCATTTTCATGAGCTGTGATCCATAAAAAAAGCAAAATCACAAAATATGTATTACCAGCTTTATTGAGTTCATTTTTTGCCCATTTGAGGCCCAGTTGAGTTTTGTTTTAGAGTTAATTGAAAAATTTGAAGCAAATTGCTTTTTAAAAAAGAGTTATGAACTTGATATTTACTCTTGCTGATAAGTTTTCACTTCCATACATGGCTGATTAATTGCAAATAAAGATATTCACAGAACAAAACGGGAAAGGCTAAACGTGTTGCTTGTATTTTAAGAAAGCAAAGCTATTTTTTAAAAAATACAGTATTTTTAAGTATGAATAAAAATATCCAAAATATGAGAAGATTCAAAATTAATCCTGTTTGGAATGAAAGGTTAAATTAGAGCCACTGACGACTCCGAACTGATTCCAGTGGTTTTAAGTGCTGTATCAAATATCACAGATAATAAAGGTTTTTTTTTTAAAGATTTGTTGGGAGCTGAAGATGACTCCTCCAAATACTTTTTATTTTTCTAAATGCTCCCTGTATTCCTCCCCCTCCTTATTTAAAATAATTATGTCTTTGAGACTGGTTGACATTGAGGGGGGCATTTAAAGCTCACCCAAAAAATTTGGGCCAATTTATTTCTGCCTTAACACTTCATGGCAAGGGACTAGCAGTGCTTTAAAACACCCAGTTGCAGGATTTTAGTCTTCGGTTCCCTGCTCAGTGGGGGAATTTTATCTGCTTTTATTTTAAAAAAAATTTTTTTT